TTGATCGACGGCGTCCCCTAGATTGCGGAAGATCGTCAAAACAAGCAGCAAGATGGCATTCTATATATTGTGGAAAGTTGTCAAAAAGCAATTGAAGGTGATTTCAGGCGAAGTTGTCTTCGATCGTGTTCCCTTAGACGTGGAAGATGGTCATAAAGAGGAAGAGGATTGTTTCAAGCGAAGCAATCTTCGATAGTACTCCCTTAGACGTGGAATATTATCAAAGCGGAAGAGGATTCTTTCAATCGAAGCAATCTTCGATAGTATTCCCTTGGACGTGGAATATTATCAAAGCGGGAGAGGATCGTTTCAAGCGAAGCAGTCTTCTATATTGGAAGCAGTTACAAGCGTAGCGGTTTTCAAGTAGGATGGCATTCTCTTGGCAGGAGGTCATCAAAATAACAAGGATACAACAGCGAATCGGTTACTTTCAGAGACGTGTGCTCGACGGTGCAAGATACACGTTTCTTAACTCTTTTATCTGTTTGACTAATGCTAGTTTGCAGGTATCGGCGTTACAAGAGAGATTTAGGATCACATAAAGTTCTGAATCATTCTCCGTCCCTATCGATACTATGACTTTTGTTTTCGAAACTTGTGTTTCTCCAAACTCAGTCAAAGTGGGGGCTTCTGTAAATACCCATTTGTGTCTCCCCAAAACCAAACCCGGTGATGAGTACCTTTCACATCGAATCATAATCGAATGAAGCGAAAGTGTGGAAAGTTTAGTGTTGCGAATAGTTTTAATTTCTTTTCTCTTCTCTTTGTTTTTGAAAACTTATTTTAAGTGAACAGCCAATCCAGTTTGGTTGGTCTATAATATGGGTCCAATAGTAGTGGAGTTGGATGGGGTTTGAAAAGACCTTTCCAACGATATATTATAAGCCCAATTCCGATGAATATTGAGGAAATTATGGCCAATTTACTAAACTGGGCCCGGTTTGAAACTTATATGCGGCCCAATGATCTAGGGGAGGGCCTAATATAGATTTGTCATTCCTAATGCAATTAGGAATGGTTTTAGTCTTCTAGATTCTTCTAGAAGGTTCTTTTCATTCCTAATTTAATTAGCATTGATAAATTGACTTTTGTTGACTTTTTAGAGTTTTAATTAAAATCAAAGAGCATTTTTGAGGGAAATACGATTTTATCCTCCAGTACGGCAATTTTTATCTGATTTTAAGAAAACGTGTGAATTTCCAGATCAGCGCCAAACGCCAGTTGTAGCGCTTGGCGCTAATGTTGGCGTCTGGCGCCAATAGCCAGCGTTGGCGCTAATCTCGTTTTATGTACGCCAGAACTCTGTTTTGATATTTTATCTTTTTGGCTGATTTTCTATAAATAACGTATTAAAAACTCCGTTTTCATTCACATACAATAACCAGTTTTCATCATCAATCTTCAATTTTCATCAATTCTCTACCATCTCTCTCTCTCTCCCATTTCTAAACTAGCCTTTTACATACAAAATTCCGCATTCATTAGATCTAGAAACACCTAGCCATATTCGAAATTGCCTTCGCCCTAGACGTGAAAGGTTTTAATTTCTGAGGGTTTTGTCCCAAATCTTTATTTCAATTATTTAATTTAATTCTTTGTTTATTATTTTCCTTGAAGTTACTAACGTGTGTATTTTGTTATTAGAAAGAGATACGAGGCATCAAAGTAAGTACTTTAATTCTTTTTATTGATATTATGATGTAGAAATCATGCTTGGATTGTTATTTTGATTCCTAGTATCATGTCTAGGGTAAATTTAATATTAAGTATGATTTCTATGATGATTCCTATGTTCTTCCTAATATTAATTCATGTTAGTATCATGTTAGGGTTAAAGCTTTGATTTTTATTGCTTAATATCATGCTAGGGTTTGTTATTAATCTTGTTAGTATCATGCCTAGGATCTTGCTATTATTATGCTTTAACATGATTCATGATTATTTTTATAATTGTTTTGATTATGATTATAATTAATATAATTATCATGATGATTATTTATTATGTTGCTTGATGATTTTTATTGTTATTGCTTGATCACACCTTTTATGCATGTTTGAAGGAAATTGGTACTTGTAATCACGCTTAATAAGATAATTAATAATCTTGTTAGGGTTAATTTGATTATAATTCAAGTGATCGCCAGTAATAGTTTATTTGTGCATTAAATTCAACCAACATAGATAAACAAGTTTAGGGTTAATCCTATTGATTGCATCTTAGTCAGAAAGCGCACATGAATACGATCAGAATAAAGTAGAGGCCTAATATTAGGGCAGGTTCAATCTCTTTTAGGTTGGATTTGTACCTTCATCCCTAAACCATTATTTGTTTCAAGACCTTATGGAGTTGACGATCTCTTGGATCGTTAAGGGGTGTAACCTTCACCTCGTGAACGGTTTACAAGTTCCTAAAAAACTTGTTGGCGACTCTTTTGCTCTATCTTCTTCCCTTTTGGACGCCACCGTACTTTAGTGTATGATCACAGTGGGGTTCAAGATATGGGGATTAAATCTTGAAATATTCCCTACAAGAGTCCATCCAAAACTTTGGATGTGCAAATGGTTAATGTGACCTAACTTTACCTGTTATAAGTAAGTGTATTTTGAATCATCTAAATTTTACTTTTGTGATCTACTTATATCAATGTCATAAAACAAAATTAACTCATATCTAGCAAAATTAAAACAATTTATTACTTTGGTCATGGATCAACACTTGTCAAAACAAGAAAACCGAAATATTGTCTCATCAAAACCTGAAATTGTTCTAAAATCATGATAAACTAATCAAAATTTAAAACTATGAACTATCTCTGGCCATTCAAATACTTCTAGTGCACCTTCAAGCTCCATTCCCAATCTAGCTTCACTGGTTTGCACTTCCTGCGCAACATCACTATGTTAAGCACTACAACTTGGTATCTCATACCTAAGTAAAAGTTAAAATGTTTATTAACAAGAGTGTTAGGTAACTCTTACTTGTCACTTCATCCTAGTGAGGACATCCTTGTTCAAGCACTATCTTATTCTCCTTTCAGGTAATCCTCTACATGATTCTTGAGTAAATCAACTAGTTTGACTCCAGAATCTTCATCATCTTGACAAAGTTTCTCGAGGTCAAAACCATCATGTAGAGAATGCAGAATTATATCATTAACCTGATGATCTTTATATGGTCTCCCTAACATACTCATGCGGTAAAATAGTTCAACCATCGTATTTACATGAATCTGTACTGACTGGCCTGACAAGAGTTTTCTTGAAATTATCTCGCCATTGAGCTTGTAGGTTTCAAACCTAATACTTCCAGTCCAGGAGTCGTCATTCGTGGGAACCATATTAATGATTTCCTTGACATTTTCATCCATTTCTCCATCAACATGGGAATTCAGAATTCCATAGCAAACATCACGTAAGCACTTGAATAAGAGATAAGGTTCATAGTTCATGAATCTTTTAGCCCTATCTTCTGGAATAGAAGACAACATCATATGCGCAATTATCTTACAATCTGAAACATTTCTCAGATGCTTCTCAAGAGTCATGCCTGGACTAAATCTGCCCTCGATTGGTAAGTCTAAACGAAATTCAAGATTTTCGTTCCTTAGAACACTTCTAAATTCGCTTTCCCAATCGTTGAAGTTGATAAAGTTAAGCCTTGTTATCATCGTTGGAGGTAAAGAATTGTCAACATTGTTACGGCTACCCATCTATGTCAAAATAAGGCAATGTTTAATAATTATGTTTAATTAAAATTAAATTACCATCAACGCATTCATTTGGTAACTTTAAAACACTTTATTCAATAATTAATTGATCCCAATTGAATTTTAAGTGATTCCAAGATCCTTTATTTGTGCAATATTAACCGGAATGAGGCCCTACCATCAACCATTACATTTTCAAGGTGAGTAAACTCTTTACTGATTACAAATATTGTAACTCTTGGTTGAATAATTAATCATCACATGCTTAATTATTACCCTTAGCTTCAAGGTTCTAAACTCTTTAGGTAACCTTGTTGAGTATAACCAATTAAAAGTGGAAAACGTGATTTACCCCCACTCACCTCTGCCTTAATTGCAATTAAAAAGTCCATTATGATCTCGGGTTTAGTCATTGAAGCATGCTGAACGAGCACTTCAGTCGAGTGATACATTGTTATGTCTATCTTAGTTGTAATTAGCCTAACAGATGATTAAGGTTTACGTGCTCGCATTTGTAAGCATCGAAAAGTCGATATCCATCATACATACTGTCATGCAGCTTGATTATTGCTGGCATGCTGTTCAACATACCTTAAGAGCATGGTTCAACCCCTGGCCTAAGATCTGCCTTTTGGTCCAAACTTTTCCGGCAGTTGGAAATTGAACCTTTTCTGAACTTGGACCACAACAAGCAATTCAAGAATTAACATGAAAATATAAATATAAATATAAATATAAATGGAAGTATAAAATGTCAGTGTAATCATTGAAGTGTAGCAAACTTAAAATTTACTGTAATGAAGCTTTAGGTGTCGGCTCCTGTAATGGTCTTCACATATTCATCAGTTCTGTAACACCTTTTTGTTTTGCTGGTATTAGAAATTTAGTTTAAACCTTTATTGAAAAGGAGGCAATGTCAGTATTTCTTACTCAACTAATGTTATGACTATTTGGCTAATAATGAAAAATAGTGTAAATGTACTTTTTTAACTAGTGGTTTTTAGTGATGATGGTTTTTAACTTGTTTTTAAACCTAGTATCAAGTTTTCTTATCTGTTAAGCTACTTTTGAAGGCCTAAATCTGGAGGAAAAAACCCAGAATTATTATTATTATTATTTTCAATTTTTATTTTGTAAGTCTCAAGCATGAACAACTGTCATCTCCGATTCATTAAAATGGAGAATCCGTATGTTCCCTTGTAAATGGTTGAATAAAAGGAAGTTATTGTGAATCAAATGATCATTGATAAAACAATTAATACATACGAAATTATATAAGGGAATGGTGTTGTATGCATTGCTTTTTATCTTAGTCTAGGGCTACCGGGGTAGATTCTAAAACATTGCTAATTGCAGATCATTTGATCCTTACGCTTAAGTAAAAATTGATATGTACTGTAATACACTTTGGTTATGCATGACATATTCATCCTTTGTTACATTAATTCACTTATGATTTTAGTCTATTAGCCGCTTCATCTATATATACTGCTTGGTTAGTTCTCATCTGGAAATATTTTTTTCTTATTGATTTCTAAATTTTGGTTGGTTTAAATCTTGGTAGTACTTGGATTAAAACAAGTCTTTGATTCTGAAGATTGTGGAAAGCCAGAATTCAGGGAAGATTAATGAGTGTGCTGAATAAGCTTTATTTGCAAACTTTGGCTATTCTTACATGATTCATAATTGTGTCTCTGCTTGGTAATTTTGCAAACTAGTGCGAAATGGTTAGTACTCTAGTTTTTAAGGCAATTGGGTCAGATTAATTATCAATTTTATCATACTGATCCGTTCTTTCATTGTATGGTTAAAGGTGGTATGCAAAACGATTTCTACATCCTGACATTGTGGCACCATATGATTACATATTTATCTTGGACGAAGATTTGGGAGTGGATAATTTTGATTCTGAAAAGTTAGCACTCTTTCTGCATCATATCCCCTAATGTCTTGAGCTATTCAGTACAGAACTTTTGTCATTTTTTTTATTGAATTTTCAGATACGTTGATTTGGTTAAGAAACATGGTTTGGAAATTTCACAGCTTGGTGTGGATCCTAATAGTCCGTTTACATGTAAGATGACAAGGAAAAGATATGACAGTGAAGTTCACAAGCAATAACTACTAATGATGTATAATTTATGCCTAGTTATCTTCCTTTATGATTTTGATATTAATTACCAAAATATTGATCTGAGTTGTTTCTCGGGTGCACTTTGCAGGAGCACAGAGGAGAAACCAGGATGTGAAATTTCAATTAAATTGTTCAATTTTTGCTACAAAAATGGAGAATGATTCTTCCAAGAAAATTGAAGTTTCTGCCCTAAACCCCAATTTACAATCAAGAGGTGTTTTGGTTGTATTAGAAGGGTTAGATCGAAGTGGAAAGAGCTCTTAGTGTATTCAGCTTCTCTCTCACTTGCAAAGTATTGGGTGTTCTGCTGAGTTATGGCGGCTTCCGGATCAAAATACTGCTGTTGGGCAGATGATCTCTGCTTATCTTTCCAATCAATCTAATTTGGATGATCATACTATTCATCTTTTGTTTAGTGCTAATCGTTGGGAGAAAAGGTTGTTTCTTTTTTCTTTTTATGATTGTTTTTTTATACATAATTTGTGAGTTGCATACCATGTGTTTGATGTTATGTTTAGCTGAATCTAATTCCTTTCTATGTTGTTATTTATTGGTTAATTTGGGTAATTCGTTCTCGGTTATATTACATTCTGGAGATTGTAGTTGGAATTATGATAGATTACTTTTAAAAAACTGTCTTTATTCCCCTGAGATTTTGAAATATATACAAGTATATTGGGACAGGAGTTCAGAATGTGATTTAAAGTTGTAAACTTTACTTCTTCATGAATCTGTTTTTTTGGTGATATGCTTGTTTAGTTGTTGACTTTGTCATCTACAATTACAGATCCATGATGGAAGAAAAGTTGAAATCTGGGACTACCCTCATTATAGATCGTTATTCATACTCCGGTGTGGATTTCTCTTCTTCCAAAGGCCTTGATTTTGATTGGTGTAAGGTAAAATGTTATCACCACGATCTCTGTTTAAGTGACTGTTGAATGTTCTATAAAATTGGTTACTGAGTTTTCAAAATCCCATGACTTGTGAAAGTGTAAGGATTAAAAGTATTGTTTAACTCTTTTGGTTTGGTAACAATGGCATTCTATGAAGCATTATGTAAAGAGAGAATGGTTGATATAAGGAAATAATATATAGTAATTACAGTTGTTGAAAACCCATCTCCGAGTGAGTGTGATGTATGTTGACAACTTGCTTTGAAGATTCCAACTCTTAGTAATCAACCAGTTCACTCAGGCATATCTCTATTTAGTCGCAATATGATCACAATTCTCTTTCTGCAGGCACCAGAGATAGGATTGATGGCTCCAGACATGGTCTTATACCTTGATATATCACCAGAGGTATACTTTCATTCAAATAGGCATGATAGGAATTTTGCCTTTAGTTTCAGTGATAAGAATTTATGGGGCGTACAATTTATTTGGTAAGATCTGAGACATGGCTGTTAAACCAAATCTTAGTTTTTTCATAGCTTGCATCAGACTGTACAATTTTGGTAAGGCTGTAAGGTTAATAGGTTTGACAGTGGTGACTTTATCTTGCATAGTGTCATTATATTGATGCCTGCAATATTATGTAGTGCAGGTTATACTAATTTTCTTTTACTTAAACATGTTCCAGTTTCTTGCAATGTTCTTTTTATTTTTGTAAATTATGTTTTTTAACTAGATTATGTGAGATAGTTGCTGTTTCATCAAATTCCGTAATAATGCCATCTAGATTTTCATACGATGCTGAATGATAACAGATGGTTGATGCCTGCTTGCCAATGGAAGAAGTCCAGAAGAAGTTTAGAGAATATGTGCTTGAGTGTGTTGCGGCCTGCAAAAATGGAAGGGCTCTGTCTCACTTCTGGTCACAATAGGCAAGCTGCCATATGCCTCTTGCTCGCTTGGGCGAAATTGTATACTATAGTCAGTAATCAGTAGTTACCACGTTTTGAACTCTAGGTTGAGCTGTTGAGGTACTTCTACCTTTAAGTTTAAGTCTAGAAGTTGGAGTTGTATTATACGTTGATTTGTTTAAGAAACATGGTTTGGAAATTTTATGGGTAGGCCCAATTACAAAGGAGACTCTGCCGAAATTTACATTTGCATTATTCAATAATATTGCATTTTAATTTCAATTATATTAGCGTTAGCATATTACTTTATACCTAGGAAAACAGGTACTACAAACATATACAAGGCAATTATTATATTATAATTAAAAGAAAAAATTCACCTCATTTGCGTCACTCATTAAACAAACAAGTGACGCAAATACAGAAGTTTTGTATTGTCTACTCAGTCATTTGCGTCACTCCTATATAAACAAGTGACGCAAATAACAAAAAATAAGTTTATTGGAAGAGTCATTTGCGTCGCTTGTTTATAAAGGAGCGACACAAATAACAAAAAAAGTTTATCTGAAGAGTCATTTGCGTCGCTTGTTTATAAAGGGGCGACGCAAATGACTAAAAATAAGTTTATCAGAAAAGTCATTTGTGTCGCTCTTTTATGAAGGAGTGACGCAAATAACCAAAAATAAGTTTATCTGAAGAGTTATTTGCGTCGCTCCTTTATAAAAGAGTGACGCAAATAACAAAAAATAAGTTTGTCAGAAGAGTCATTTGCGTCGCTTATTTATAAAGGAGCGACGCAAATGACAAAAAATAAGTTTATCAAAAAAGTCATTCGCGTCGCTCCTTTATAAAGGAGCGATACAAATGACTCTTATTTGCGTCGCGCCTAGGAGCGACGCAAATGACTTAAAAGTCATTTGCGTCGCAAGCAGTTGCGTCGCTCATAGAAGCAACGCAAATACACTATAAATGAGCGACGCAAATGAGCCTTTTTCTACTAGTGGTCGCAGGTCGAATTTAATGATATATATTTATCTACCACGTGCATATCTTTTAAGGATTTGGTTTTATAGAATAAAGATATTTACTTTCTAATAAATCCTTGTGGAAAAAGATAAGTTATTTTTGGAAAATATTTTCAGCAAAATAAGTTTTAAACAAAAACTAATTTTATGGTAATTATATCTTTTGTAAAAAGATATGGTAAGACATATTAGTATATTTGGAAAATATAAGATTTAGATAAAATCTGATTTTGTTGTAAATATATCTTATTATTATTGATTGAATATATTCTTAACAAAAGATATATTTATGGAAAACTTATTTTTGGAAAATATCTTTTATTTCTATCTTTTAATAAAACTTATCTTTTACGAAAAGAATAATTTGGGTGTACTATAAATATGCTCATATGTATTCATTCAAAGTTGAGGCTGATGAAGCTTAGTGGTCGTGCTTAATGGTTTCATCCTTCACCACAAAGCTAAGTCAAACCTCCAGGTCGAAGTTCTAGTCAGGTTCCAGTTACAGTTCGTCCAGTAAGTTCCAGACAGATCTTGAAGTGTCCAGCATATTAGTTTTATCTCTTTATTCATTGGTATGTATTTAGAGTTATTCTTTGAGATCTTGTAATTGGGAAAAAGGGTTTTGAGTGTTTTATGTATTGGGGTGTGAGAGTTCGTGAGGATTCTCGTTTTTATAATATTGTATTGTAAAAGTGCAATGTGTGAGCTTCTAGGGTGAAGCCGAATGAGCTTCTAGTGAGAGGCCGAGTGTAGGCACTTTGGGAGTGCTAAGTGAATCTAAGTTTGGACTTAGATTGGGTAACATAGGGTCTTATCGTGTAGCAAGTTTAGTCAGGAACTTGTGAGTAAATGTCTGTCATTTAATAGGTTTGTAACTTGGTGTTTGCCCTATTATAGTGGATTGGTTTGGCTTGAAATCCCTTGGAGAGTCGAGGTTTTACTTCCAGTTGGGCCCTGGATGGTTTCCTCGTAAAATCCGCTTTGCATTGTCTAAGTTCCTAACAGCAATCAGTTTTATATTCCGCGAAAAGTAGGCACTAGGGACATACTACAATTCACCCCCCCTCTTGTAGTATATCATCCGAAATAACAAAAGGGATTTATCAAAAATAGTAGATGGAAACGTGGTTATCTTGAAAGAATTCGCACGCCATTATTTTGATAAACCTCTTTCTGAATCTTTTCATATATATAGAAGAAGGGCGTTCTTATTTTGCATGCTTAACCAATTTTTTCTTAGTAGTGGTAAAAATAATGAAAGTCGATCAATTATAACCACTGTACTAGAACAAATTGAATCAGGGAGAAATCCAATGCCATTAATAGTTGGAGAGACTATGATTAGTCTAGATGAATTGAAAAGGGACCTAAAAGCACCTTTTCGCGGCTCTCCAATTTTATTACAGGTAGAAAAATAATATTTTTAATTACAGAAATCAAAAAAAAAAATTTGTATTGTAATAATAATTTATTTGCATTGCAATTTTTTTTTACAGATGTCGCTAATGGAAAGGCTAGGATTAATTAGCCCTCCGGACGATATTGAGAAGTATACTCCCAATTGCTTCGTGAGGAGGAAGAAACGCTTCCCTAAGATTGGGCGCCATGGGTTGAGAAAAGTCTTCGAATCACGTGATTTTGCTATCAAGTGGGTCGTCCCGTGGTGGAAAATAGAAAGGATGGTTGGTGTTAACAAGCAACCTTTCTGTCGCCTTCCAAGCTTGTCTCGTGTGACTTATTATTACCCCTGCAGGGTAAAAAGACAATACGGCTTGCTTCACAATATTCCTTCCGGGGATCTTCGTCCTCCCTATGAGTACCCTGTATCTCAAGAAATAGACAGATTTGATGCTTACTGGGGTGCTAGACCTTTATGGGAAGTGATCACCCAAAAGGTTCCTCCTTCCTTACCCAATGATGTGAAGAAGTGGTTGCTGAAGAAACCTTCAAAGGATAGAGATCAGGGTAAAACTGATGTGAAGAGTTGTCTGGGTGACAGGGTGATTCCTGCCAAGGAACGTCTAGGTGCAAGAATTGAATTCAAAACACCTGCAATGCCTAGGAAGAAAAATGCTACCAAACATAAAGGGAAAAGGAAAGCTAACACCACAGATAAAAAGGCTTGGGTGGAAAAGAAGCATAGAATGTTAGCTAAAGGGGAGACTATCTACTCTAAAATTGAATGTAGGTCCTCTAAAGGGTGCCTACTAGCTAAAGTTATGGATGAGGAGGAGGAAGCAGAAAAAAATTGGAAAAGGGCTAGAAAGGAAAAGAAAGATTAGAAGCATTGGTTAACTTTCAATTTATTAGACTTAGTTTATTATTCATTTTAAGTTAATTATTTCAGCTTTATTTAAATTCCATCAATAATGTAATTTTATTTTATTAATGAAATTTCAGCTTTTAATTAAATTATTCACTTTAAATTTATTTTATTAAAGCAATGAAAACCGAAAAAAAATTAATTTTCCAGAAATTCTTCGAGTACGGAAGTTGAAAATTTTCCGAAAAACACTGAAATTCGCCCAGAGTTTATTTCCAAATTAGCGCCAGTTATTAGCAATTGGCGCCTGTTATTAAAGTTTGGCCCAGGCGCCAATTTCATCGGCTGGCGCTGATGGCTGTTAGCTGGCGCCAAGCTCTTCTTTGCGACGCCGATAATTTGCCGATCTTCTTTTGAATTTTTAATAATTCTGGAACGCGAAGATGTCGAAAAATAAAGTGGCCGCACCCGTAAAAGGTTGCCTACGTATCCTTTCTTATAGAATCAGGCCGAACGTAGCTCTCTTGAGTATCCTACTCAAGTAATTATGGTTAGTTTTGCTGCACCTCCTGACAGGATTGTTTTGACAATGTAGGGTCCAGACCAATTAGGTCTAAATTTACCCCTTGGATCTAAAAAAATTTTCCTTAGTGCTTTTAACACAAAGTCTCCTACTTTGATACTTTGATAGGTTTGGAAAGGGGCTAGACTTTCGCTCCTTACTTTCCACCTTTTAGATATCTGATTGATGATCAAAGAAGAGTCTCCGAATATCCTTAACTTTTTTACTCCTAATGCCAAAGTTGTTTCAAGGCCTACCACGCATGCTTCATATTCAGCGGCATTGTTGGTAACGTCGAAATCAAGCTTTATGGAGATTGGAACATGCTCCTCTTTAGGTGATACTAGTAATACTCCAACGACACATCCCTTTTGGTTTAAGGCTCCGTCGAAGTACAAGGTCCAAGTATCATCTTCAGTAACCATTAGATCTTCATCTTGAAATTCATTATATTGCATTGCGTCGAGTCTTCTATGGAAAATCTGCTAGAAAGTCTGACACCACAGATCCTTTGATAGCTTTTTGTGGCATAAACCTTACATCAAACTGGTCTAGATTGACTATCCATCTTGATATAAGTCCATTGAGTGTAGATTTCTTGAATAGATACTTGAGTGGATCTAATCGGGAGACTACGAAGACGGTATGCACCAGCATGTAATGTCTTAACTTAGTTGTGGCCCACACCAAGGCGAGGCACAACTTCTCGAGCGGTGTATAGCGTGCTTCGTATTCGAGCATCTTTTTGCTTAGGTAATAAATTGCATTCTCTTTGCCTTCTACCTCTTGTGCTAGCATAGCTCCCATTGTCTCTTTGGTAACCGTTAAATATAACCTAAGAGGTTTCCGGGAAGTGCTGGTGCTAATACGGGAGGATTTGCGAGATAGGCTTTGATCGTTTCAAAGGATTTTTGACACTCGTCATCCCATATTACTGGTACATTCTTCTTGAGCTTCTTGAAGATTGGTTCACATATTGTCGTCAGTTTTGATATGAACATACTTATGTATTGCAACCGGCCAATAAATCCTCGAATCTGTTTCTCAGTCTTGGGCGGCGGCATGGACATGATTGCTTTGATCTTGGTTGGGTCTACCTCTATACCTCTAGAGCTTATTGACGTAACCAAAGAGCTTGCCTAAGGTGACTCCAAAAGCACACTTAGAT